GCGTGCAAGAAATTTTTTTTTAACCTCTCATGACATAGATTTATTGTTTAATATCTTTTTTTTTTCGGTTTATCATATACAGTTTTTGCCTGTCGTTGTTGTTGTTTTTATCGATCCAGCGGCGCATGAGCTTTCGCCCTTTGGTCCAATGACATGTAGTGGAATTTGCATGTTTTCACAAACTGTTCTTTTCCTCCGTACAAGGTCTTCCACTTGTCTGGTCTCGGAGGGTATAGCATTCTTCTAATCTCGCTGAGTTTAGGGCACTCAAAGAGATGGTGTTCAACAGTTTTCTAGGGTTAGTTATATAGCTGGAACTCTAGGGAGTGTTGTGGCTGTATTCTGATTAGATGTCCACTGAGTGGAGTATGTTGCGTTCTAAGTCTGAAGATTGTGGCCTGGTCTCTTCTTGTTAGATGGTTAATGCTGTCATTAGAATCAGCCATATGTCTACAAACCTCTCTTTCAGTGTCTGTCCTATTATGTTCTGTACCTCCTTGATACATCTTCTCTCCGATGCCATCAATGAGCCTAGGTATCTAATTCTATGTGCATGCTCCAAGAAAATTGATTTAAGATAATGCTACTGATTTATTTGTACGTGTAAGTACAATTATTGTATTCGATAGTCTTCTTCTTCTTCGGCATTCCGAGCACTTGAGGATCATTGCTGAAGATTTCACCCACCTCCATTCATCTCTCTGGTTCGCTTTCTCTTTCTAATTGATAACACCAAGTGTGTGCAGGTCTGTCTGGATATTATCTCTCCATCTTCTCCCTTGTCTCTCTCGTGGTCTACGATCATTTCTCTCCCTGGTGCATACAGTTTTTACTTTTCTGTCATCTGACATTCTTTCAGAATTCCCCAACCATTTCAGTCTGTTAGCTTTTATGATGCCAGTGATCAGTTGTGGTTTAAACAGATTATGAATTTCCTTGTTTCTTCTCACTCTCCATTCCCCGCTGTTTGCATCTTTGATGGGTCCAACGATTCGTCGTAAGACTCTTTTTTCGAAAACCTTAATAAGGATTCATCACTCTTAGTTGTGTTCCAAGTTTCAGAGCGATTTAACACGGCTGGTCTTATCAACGTTCATTCGATATTACCACTACTTTATTCTTCACTGTAGCGGCGTCCGTGGCTTAGGCGTTGCGAGTCCGACTCGTAATTCCAACGTACCACGATTGAAACCCACTGCTGGCTGCGTAGATTTTTAATCATGGTGTGGGGCGGCGTCGCAGGTCGACCCAACCTAAAATGGGTACCAGTGTGTATGTCCTGGGGAAGTAAAGACAGCCGGCGTAATGCTGACCACATTACCCACCTAGTGCCAAATGGTCTGTAAAAATATGGGTGCTCTTCCCATATGCCCGATGCGCCTAAAAGGTTTGAAAAGGGATCTTTACTTTACTTACTTACTTATTCTTCACTGTATATGTAGGCACAATTATTCTCTTTAAAATTATCATAACTTCAGTCATCCCTTTTTTCAAACTAAGACCTATTCTTTCACTTTCTACAACCATTGTATTAGTGAAATCTGTTTTCTTTCTGACTTGTCGCTATCAAGACAGCATAACTTAGATAGTGTATACCAAATAACCCCCCAAAAAAGGCAATATTCGCGTATTGTCTTTAGATGTTTTCTTATATTCACTATGTAGATAAACTAAATCACGCAACATTTGAAGATCCTTGTGGCGTCACCTCGTTATGCTCTGAAATGTTCCCAACAGGTTGTTTATTCTTACAGCTGAAACTAATATGAAGGTTAGAAAAGATAGAAACAAATGTTAAAACTCGTATTATTTATTTGGCCCAAAATGACGCAGGTCGTCTGTACTCCGCAGAAATATTCATATATAAATTTTACACTGAACAGACATAGAAACATAAACAAGTTTTAAACCATTTCTCGTCGCTGGAAATTCAAACTCAAGCTCTTTAGGCAAGCATCTGATCACATCACAAACCGATAGACGGAGGGACGGACTGATGGACGCAGTGACAGACATACATAAGGATGGACGGATTGATTCAGAGAGAGTGAGAGAGAGAGAGAGAGAGAGAGAGAGAGAGAGAGAGAGAGAGAGAGAACAGACGGACAGACGGATGGCCTCACAGACAGACAGATAGACAGACACATATAATTAACGGGGAGTCCCCGTAGCAGAGCGGCTAGACGCGCGCAGCGGATCGGAAGGTCGTGGGTTCGCTCCCTGGCGGAGCCGGACTTTTCTTCAAAAATGACCTTGGCTCCCAGGTCGACCCAGCCTTGAGTGGGTACCGGGTGCAGTCCCGGGAAGTAAAGGCGGCCGGCGTGATGCTGACCACAACACCCATCTTGTGCCGTTGGTCGATAAAATGTAGGTCTAGCCCTATATGCCCTATACGCCTTGAGGCGTGGAACAGGGTTTTTTACTTTTTTTATATATAATTAACGAAAAGAACGAATTTATTTCCAAAGGGTTATACAATTGGGCACGCAGGCCCGTCTTATCTCAAACCCATTCAAGCACTCATCTTTCATACGACAATTGTTTTTTTTATATATCAGGCATATTTTGTTCATATATTAAAATTCATAGTATGAATGCATACAAATACATAAACAACACAGACGTACAGACACAATCA